GTGCCCCCCGCCCCATCCTTGCTTTTCCTGTCTTCGTAGGGGCAGCTGTGTTCTGTGTGCAGGTAGCAGGGCCTCGCTGCCCAGGCTTGTCTGGGGCTCTGCTTGGAGAGTCTTGGGCAGCGTGGGCGTGGGGTCGGCAGGAGCTGAGGTCAGCTAGTAGGGGGTCCAGAGGCTCAGGTGTTCTGTCTTCGGCTGGGTGGTCTGCGGCCCCCTTGTCCACCCTGCTTCCTGGCCTCACAGCCCTCAGTCCAGGCCAGGCAGGGAGTGAGTGGCGCGGCACGCTGTCGCTGACCCGCCATCTGGGTGCTGTCTGTCTGTTACACAGCCCTGTCGGTCTGCTATAAAACCGGATCGGGGGCCGACAACGGCGAGGAAGGTAAGAGCCGCCCCTGCGCGAGGGTCCTGAGGTCTGTGTGCTGGGCTGCCCGCGTGCCCGCGCCTGTGTGCCCTGCTGCGAGGCAGGCCTGAGGGGTTCCCGGCGCAGGGAGGGCTGCGGGGCACGGTGGGTCCTGCCCCCCTGTCCTGGACGTGCAGCAGCTGCTGTCTCGCTTTCCCTTCTTTCTCTGACGTGCTGCTTCCCAGGCCAGCACAGGACATTGTCCTCCTTCCTGCTCAGATGCCCGGGGCTTCTGGGCTGCGCTGCGGGGACCTACGCTGCCACCTGCCCCGGGTCCAGCATGGGGAGGGGCCTGTGCAGCCAGCGGGTGGGCCTTTGTCCGGCCGCCTGAGCGTGTGTCTCTGGGACCAGCTCACAGGAGCTCTGTGTCCTTCAGGTGAAACAGAGGAGGAAATGGAGAACCCAGAAATGGCAGACCTGCCCGAGAAGCTCAAGCACCAGCTGAGGCATCGAGAGCTCTTCCTCTCTAGACAGCTGGAGTCGCTGCCCGCCACCCACATCAGGTGCCCGGGGGGCCGGGGGCGGGCACGAGGGAGTCCCGCTACCCACATCAGGGCCCGGGGGCCTGGGGCGGGCACGAGGGAGTCCCGCCACCCACATCAGGTGCCTGGGGGCCTGGGGCGGGCACGAGGGAGTCTGCCCAGCTCCCCTAACGCGCGCCCTTGTCTTGCAGAGGGAAGTGCAGCGTCACTTTGCTCAACGAGACCGAGTCCCTCAAGTCCTACCTGGAACGGGAGGTGAGGCCCCGACGCCGTGGGCTGGGGGCTGGGGGGTGGGGGCAGAGGTGGATCCTGGCTCCTCTGGTCTGGTCTGGGTGGGCATTACTCCTCCCACCTCATGCTGGGCTCAGGCCCTTCCCTGCCCGTGGCGCCCTGAGGCCAGGCGCTGTCACGGCCCTTCCCGGTGTCCTGTGCAGTCCCCACTCCTCGCGCCTCCAGAGCGAGGGCCCAAAGTGGGCGCGATGGCTCCCGGGGGTCTGCTCTCCCCACCACCCCCCGCCCCCCAGGAGGGGCACGACTTGTCCTGGAGGGGACGATGGGACCCGTGCTGGCCGCCGTGGTCGCCGTCAGGCTTTCCCAGCGGGCGTGTGGCCCTACCGCAGTCCAGGCCACCGTCTCCAGTCTTCGCTGGGTTGACCCACGACTGTGTTGGACGGTTGACCAGAGAGTTTCTGAGTTTAGGAAATCAAAACCGTCAGTGCTGCCACTGTCTGGGGCCAGGGCACCGACCTCCTCATCCCACAGATGAGGGTGGGAGGGGAGCCACAGCGGCCGGTGCCTGGGCCTTGCTGTGACACCCGAGCTGCTCGCCCTGAGCCCATGGTGACGCCCAGGGCGGGTGGTGCTTGTTGCGGGCTGTCCGTGCTGCCCGCCCAGCGCCCCTCCCCCGAGGCGGAACGACCAAAAATGTCCCTAGAGGGTGCACGTGTGAGTCCTGGGAGCAGCAAGAAGCGTGTTTGGGGACGATGGCAGGCCAGCGGGGTCAGGAGCAGCGTGGGCACGGGTGTTACCTAGTGGGACAGGTCGCGGTGTAAGGGAGCTCCTGGGGCCAGGTGAGGAGTGGTTGTGGGTCCGGGGTCCCCTCCCTGCGTGTCCCCACGCACTGCGGGCTCCCCTGGGACCTGTGTGCGGCCACCCCGCAGCTCCTAGCAGGAGTGTCATCGTCTGTGGGCGACGCTTGTTCTCAGCCACAGTCCCCTCCCCCCGAGGCAGGGCCCAGCTCTTCCCGGGGGCCCAGAGGGGTCGGACCGTGGACCATGGCGACAGCGGTCCAGCGAGGGAGGGCAAGCCCGGTGCCGTGGCCTCACCGAGGCCTGACTCAGTCAGGCGTTGGAGCACCGCCAGGAGGACGTTGCCTGGAGTAGGCGCTGAAGAGCCCCCCCCCAGGGCAGCCCTGGCTCCAGGGAGCCGCTGCGTGCCTGCCCACCGGACAGAGCAGGGGCCGTGGCCCCCAGGCGTGCGTCCACTGGGGGCTGCTGTCTGCAGTTTAGAAAGACCCCTGGGTGACAGCCACATAGAGGTGGTGATGCGGAGGGACGGCCATGAGCAAAAAGGTGGCAGTGAACCACTTGGTCTCCAGCAATGGCGAGCACATGGGCCCCGTTCAGGGACCTGTGTGTGTCTCCTGGGCGCACGCCTCGTGTTTTCTGCTTCTCTCCGCTCACCTGTCTAGGGGTAGGTGGTTCTTAGCCTGAGATGGCAGGCGGCCCACTGGGACGGCCTCCCCTCCCGGTCTGGGCGGCCACAGGCAAGAATCGACTGACTGCGCCCAGGCCCACCGTCCTGCTCGGGCCTCAGGGAGTCAGTCCTCGGGTGCAGGTGCAGCCGCAGCCTGCACGGACCCGCACCCAGAGAAGCCCTTGGCTCCGAGGCAGGAGCTGGCTGCCGCCCGGAGAGCAGGAGCCGCGAGAAGCAACCACAAGGGACTAAGAGAGGTGGCACAGGGACACGGGGCCAGGTCGAAGTCCTGGCACGGGGTGCCGTGACCCTCGGTGTACACGGGGAGACCCCCGGGGAAGCCCAGGGTCGGCAGGCTGGTTTCTGCAAAGCAGCCCAAGCCAGCTAAACGCAGCTTCTGAGAAACAGCTTCGGCACGTGGAGTGCCAGGCAGCGAAGGGCCAGGAAGGCCGGATTGTGCCAGTTCCAGCCGGAACAGCCTGGGCGCAGGCGTGCGGGGTGAAGACAGGCTCCGAGGCTGAGGGCCGCAGCCTGCTGCTCCGCTGACAGCTCTGGGCACCGAGTCCAGAACATTCTGTAACGTAAGCCCCTTTGTGTACGTCTCCTGTGACAACTGCGCGAAAACGGCAGCATCTTCTCAAAGGACGTGCCCAGAATCTGTCAGATTCGTCCCCAGATGCCTTAGGATTTTTGTTGCCATTCAACGCTCTCATGAACTCAGTTTTCAAACCGTTGCTGCTGGTGGGCACGCGGCAGTTTGGGGAACTGGTCCTACAGCTGCCTCCGCGGCGCTCTCGAGCCTCCGAGCAGATCGCTGTGCCCCGACGGTCGCGCCGCACCTGCCGGCCCCCCGCGAGCGTGGCCGGGCTGCGCATTGACGCCGCTGCCGCGCTGTCTTCCAGGATTTCTTCTTCTACTCTCTCGTCTACGACCCGCAGCAGAAGACCCTGCTGGCCGACAAGGGGGAGATCCGCGTCGGGAACCGGTACCAGGCGGACATCACCGACCTGCTGAAAGAAGGTGCGGCGGGCTGCGAGGCCAGCGGGGAGGGCGGGGGCTCTGGGTGTCGGGATGGGGCGGCGGGCCCCAGGACCCCCAGCAGGAGGGGCCGTCGGACCCTCTCTGGCACCTGGAGATTTTATTTCCTTCCTCAGTTGTTTTCATAACCTTTCGAAGCCCTTTTTGTCCCCCCAAAACTTGTTTGAATGGATCTGTTTCACTGACTTCTAGCGGGTGGTGCTGTCCGCGAGGCCGCAGTGCACGGGGACGCAGGGCCCAGCTCCCCTGCCCTTCAGCAGCCTGGGGGTCAGGGGCGGGCTTGACCCCCATCTTCTCAGCCCGTTCTGTCCCCAGCCAAGCCGCCCAGGCAGGAACGTGGACCCGCGGTGACCTGCAAGGCCGGTACTGTCTGGCTCGGGGCGCCGTGTGGCAGGCTTCCTTCTGGGGCCACGTGGTTGAACCCGGGTCACTTGGGTGGTGGCCACACTCAGGCAGCTCAGGTTGACCGGGAGCGCAGCGGGGTCCGGGCCTCGTGGTACCCGCCACCTCCCCTCCCCCCCTTCCTTCCTGCGCGGCCGCGTAATTGCCGTGCGTGCGGCAGGCCTGACGGCTGACCCGCACACTTGCTCGTCCGTGATGGCGTTTTGGTGCCTGTTCTCTTCGGAGCCTGTGCTCCTGCGGAGCTGGTCCTGTGTGCAGAGTCATCCCCGTGTGGCGCCCAGGTGGCCTCGGGGCCCCCGTGTCCCTCAGGAGCGCGGCGTCCTCCTGGCGAGCGTCCGCAGCACCTGTGGGGCTGCAGGTTGGGCTTGGCTCCCCTGTGGTCTGTGCCTCGGTTTCCTCTGTGCTGTAGAAACGCCGGACATCCCTCCTTTCCGTGGCTGCCGCTCCTTTCGGGGCCACAACTCCTCATCCCCAGAAGCTGGTCCGCTTGTCGCAAACATCCGCTCTTGGCCTGTGTGCGTCTTTCCTGTTGCACACACACACGCACGAGCGCACACGTGCACCACACCTCCCACGCGTGTGCATCTCACACGCACGCACACACACACACACACACACACACTTGCCTCCCCTGTTGATTGGTCTTGGTCTCTGTCTCTGTCTTATGGGGTTCCTGCCGCCGGTCGGATGTGAGAGGGAGGGCTAACGGGACGCACCTGGTGGGGGCGGTTCCCTCTATTCACGGGTGTCCGGCTCCGTCCCAGGTGGGGCGAGGCTGCCCTTCCCGCCAGCCCTGGCGCTCTGCCCTGTGGTCCTGCCCTGTGGCCGCTCGCGTCACTCGTGGGGGCCCCCGCACTTGAGCAGAGCCGGATGCGCTGGCCCAGCTGGTCTCCTGGTGCAGCCCGTCCCCCTGCTGGGCCGGGTGCACCTGGCACCCGGGCCCCGCTCCAGGGATAGGCATCCTCCAGTGGCCCCATGGGGCCTCCTGGTCTACATCATCCCAGCCTGGCTGAGGATAAAGGGCCTGGTAAGGGCCACATCCAGTGGGAAACAGGAGAGGCCACACGGCGGCACAGGAGAACACTGAGTGGCTGGAACGGCCGAGGACCTCGCTTTCTGGCCAGCCCTGGGTGCTTGGCGGGAGGACGCGTCTCTGGTCTCGGGGCGCCCTGGGGAAGCCCTGCCTGCAGCCCCAGGGCCAGGGGCGGCATCCCTGCAGCCCTTCCTCCTCCCGACCCCTGGACTGCTAGGGCGAGGTGGGCTCGGCCTAGCCCTCAGTTCCGTTCTCCTTCTGGAGCCTGGACCCTTCCCAGCGGGTGAAGCCGTGCCCCTGCCTTGGACGCGTGAGACGTTTGCAGGGTGCACCAGTGGGTGTGGGCGCCAGCTGGGGCCACAGCTAGCTGTGCCCGTGGCTCTGGGCTCAGTTGCCCGGCAGTCGCTGGGGGCTGTCGTGGCCCGCGGACCTTGGATCCAGGAGTGGGGGCCCTGCCTTCCTTGGTACCCACTGTCCCTGGGGAGGGCTATCCGTGCCGAGTCACCACCAGGAAGGAGCCTACCCACGACACCGGGAAAATCCCACCTGTGCTCGTCCTATAGATGCAGCCCCCAGGACCCTGACCCCTCAGATCTCTTCGTTCCCACCCCCGGGTCGGTCCTGCACGTCTGCAGTGCGGGGCTTCTCTCCCGTGAGCCCCCGGCCCGGCGACGTCCCCTGGAGCCTAGCAGGGCCTGACCTTCCCCAGTGCGAGGGAGCACGTGTTTCCTTGGTGACTTCCAGCCATGCCCAGCCCTGCATGACCGCGCTCACACAGGGCTCCCGCGGGCTTGTTGAGTGCCGTGAGGGGTCCTGCCCTGGGTCTGGAAGTTGGTTGCCACGGAGAGCAGCAGAGGCTGAGAGAGTCTGCAGACGTGCAGGCCGAGCGCCTGAGTTGAGTGGGGTTGTGACCTCGGGGCGGGCGTTCTCTGGACCCTCGTGCTGGCCTCGTCTGCCCCTTGCTGCCTGGAGCACGTGGCAGGTGGCGCTTGGCATGGGCAGCTGCCCAGGAGAGAAACCCTCCTGGCTGGGCCCTGAGCCCCATGCCCGCCGCATACAGGGTGAGGAGTGGGGCTCCCGCCTGCAGAGGGAAGAGGCCCCGAGACGGAGGCTTTTGGCGCCGAGGGCGCCCTTGGGTGGCAGGCGTGTGGGTCCGCACTGAGTCGACATCAGTGTCCTCGTGGTGGGGCTGCCGCTGGGGGCTGGGCGCAGCCGCACCCCACCCCGCAGAGCCTCAGAGGAAAGAGCTTGATTGATCAGGTCCAAGCTGCTCCGCCCCTCTGTCCAGCTGGCTGTGCTCCCTGGGCCCTCCCGACGGTACCTCTTCAAGCTCCTCCATGGGGGCGCGGGCTGCCAGCCCCAGGCGCCCACTGTTTCCAGAGGTGAAGGCCGTCGTGTGTCAAGCGTGCCCTGGAGCTCTGGGTCCTACCACCCCCGTGCGTGCGCGTGCCTGCTCGCGTGTGTGTGCACACGCGCGCTGTCACCTCGTCCCTGGGCTCACTCGCCCTCTCAGCCCGCTCCCTGCCTCAGCGGCCTGGTCCCTCGTCCGACCCTGGGCTCCAAGCGGAGCCGCAGGGGTCTTCTCACAGCCTCGGTGGTTCTCACCGCGCAGTGTTTCGTCCTCCTAGGCGAGGAGGACGGCCGAGACCAGGCCAAGCTGGAGACCAAGGTGTGGGAGGTTCACAACCCGCTGGTGGACAAGCAGATCGACCAGTTCCTGGTGGTGGCCCGGTGAGTTCTGGGCTGGGGCAGCCACGTCTTGCCTGACCCCCGGGCACAAGCCGGCACGGGGCCTGAGCCACTGCCCCACCCCCGCGGTGGGCGTCGGGATGCCTGTCCTACAGGGCATCCCCCAGTGAAGGGCCTGGGAAGTTAGAGGGTCCGGGGCCCTGCTCTGTTGAGACCCCCTCGTAGCTCCTAGGGAGGCCTGCAGGGTGGGGCCTGGCCCTTCCCTGAAGGTGGAGCCGGCTCTGGGGGGCTGCTGGGTTCCCGGGTCCGGGAGGCAGCCCGACCCGTGGATCTCAGGGGCCGCCCACCAGCCAAGGCCAAGTAAGCCGGCCACAGATGGGGGCTCTTTCCCCGGACGGTAGGGCGGGACAGAGGTGCTTGCTCGTCCGGCTCCGGGACCGGGCAGATCTGGCCTAGAGGCGCAGGGCCTCCTGGGCACAAAGGGGCAGCCCCCCGAAGAGCAGCTTCTGCCCAGGCTGGCCCCCCAGGGGTCCCTGGGCTGGGACAGCAGGAGGGGAGCTCCTGCGAGCACATGGGGGCCACACGCCCAGAAGGCGCCTGGGCTGGGTGCCGTCGGAAACAGTGTAGGAATGGGGTCCTGAGCCTCAGGACCTGAAGGCTCTCTTTTGTAAGAAGAGGTCTGCAAAGTCTCAGAAACAACGTCCCCGTGCTCCAGACCACAGTGTTCCATCCCGAGACAGCCGAGTCTGGACGCGTCTGCGTGTCCGGCTTGGTCCGGCCGCCCCTCCTGCTTGTCCGCTCCAGTGGTCAGCGTCTCTCCTCCTCCCCAGCTCCGTGGGCACCTTTGCACGCGCCCTGGACTGCAGCAGCTCTGTCCGACAGCCCAGCCTGCACATGAGCGCCGCGGCCGCCTCTCGGGACATCACCCTGGTAAGTGAGAGGGCCACCAGGCAGCCGCGGCCCTGTGCATCTGCTCAGGTCAGCACCCGTCCCCCGGGCGGCACAGCCCTCCCTGGGGGGCACAGCGCAGGGCTCTCACTGCCCCTGTGTGGTGACCCTGTCTCATGCTGGTGAGAGGCTGCCGGCCGGCCGGTGGTCAGGCCCTACTAGGCCCTTGCTGGGCCGCGGGCCGCATGTCCTCAGCCTGCCCTGCTCCTTCCACACTTGCCACCTCAGAGGCAGCAGCATCTCCCAGAGGACGGCTCGTGCCCTAGGCCGGCCCCTCCTGCCCAGGGCACTTTGGCCCTGGGGTCAGTCACCCACTGTCTGCTGGCTGAGCCACACCCCCTGGAGTCCCGCCCCTGCCGAAGTGGGCCTGGGAGCACGCCTGCTCCCCTCTTCTGCTCCAGGCAGCTTGGCCTCTCCCTGCGCTCTCCCCAGAGGCCCCCGGCCGCCCCCCCAAGACTGTCCTTATCCCCTCCCAGGTGGCGGGGAGGGCCAGCCCCTGGGTCCTGTGGCCTCCCACACGGCCCGGGTGTGCCTCCTGCCTGGGGCCGGGCGGGGTGGGGTCGCCCCAGCTCTGGGGCCCAGGCGACCTCGCCTCTCCTGCTGCAGTTCCACGCCATGGACACGCTGCACAGGAGTGTGTACGATGTCGCCAAGGCCATCTCGGCCCTGGTGCCGCAGGGTGGGCCCGTCCTCTGCAGGGACGAGATGGAAGAGTGGTCGGCCTCGGAGGCCAGCCTTTTCGAGGAGGCCCTGGAGAAGTATGGGAAGGATTTCACGGACATTCAGCAAGACTTCGTGAGTACCAGGCGCGGGCCCAGCGCCCTGCCGCGCCGCTGCGCCGCCGTGTGTCCGCCCCCTGTCCGCTAGTGGCTCCAGAGGAGACGCCCAAGGCCGCCTGCCGGGGCCTGGGCTGTGCCACCAAGGTGAGGGTCCACGCCGGCGTCGCCGGGCTCCTCACCGGGCCTCGTTTGACTTGGTTCGTTTGGCTGTGTTGGTTGTTCTTAAGTGGCCGAGCGTCTCCGTGTGCGTCCTTGCTTTGTGTCCCTTGCAAGTGTCCACCAGTGAGCCCGTGGGGATTCCAGCACCGGCAGGGCCTGTGCCCTCAGGGGCCCCTCCTGCCCTTACAGCCCACTTGAACTCACCTGAAAGGAGGCCAACCGGTGGTCGCTCAGAAGAGCGCGCCCGTGCAAAGAGGGCGGCATGGGCGGCCGGGCCGGCCTGACCGCGAGCCCCAAGGAGGGGCCGGGATGCAGCGGCCTCGCCAGCATCTGGTTCGGAGCAGCACCCCTGCAGTAACGGACGAGGCTGATGCCACGGGACCCACGTCAGGAGGCAGACGGCACTCCTGAGGGTGGAGAAGCAGTGTCGGCCCCCAGAGGCCACCAGAGGGGCCCCCGCGCAGCCCCTGGTGCCGTGCGCACAGGCCGAGCCCGGACAGCTGGCCCCCTCTGCGAGGCAGGTGCGCGGAACGCACTGAAAACCTAAGCAGAGCAGCAAGGCCTCCTCACGCAGAAACAAGCGGAGCGAGAGGGCGGGCGGGAAATAAAGCGCTCACCTCGCCACGGCTCCCGCACGTCCCGGGCCCCTCGTGCTCCCGTGTGACGACGGCCCGGGTGCGCACAGACTCTGAACTGTCGACGCGCCCGTGCGGACGTCGTGGGAGAATCTGCGCCGCGGGACTCGCCTGAGATTGGCCCGGAGGTGGCGTGGAAACGCAGGGGGCGGGACGGCAGCGGCAAGACTGACGGCCACGCTGGACTCACACGCAGCCTGCGGGGCCCAGAGGGGGCGGAGCTGGGACCCGGGAGCAGAGTGATCGCGAGGACGTTGTCGCCCACGGCCGTGGGCGTGGCTGGCGGCCGTGGGCGTGGCTGGCGTCTGGGCTTCCAGCTCCTTGCGCGAGGGGAGGGGGCACCCACTACCAACCGAGCAGGGCAGAGGTGCCGAGACCCGGGAGGAAGCTCTTGCGTTGAATGGAGTGTGCCTGAGAGGGAGAGAGACAGGGCGAGGCCCGAGAGGGGCCCTGACGCGGGCTGCGGGGAGGCTCGCCCCCTCCTGGGTGGGGTTAGCGGTCCCGCCATGCCCCCGCCATGCCCCCCCCCCGCCCCCTGACGTGCACCTCTCCCCCCAGCTCCCCTGGAAGTCGCTCACCAGCATCATCGAGTACTACTATATGTGGAAGACCACCGACAGATACGTGCAGCAGGTGAGGGCCCGGCCTGGGCGGGGGCCGAGGGGTCCTGTGGGAACTTTAGGGTGAGCGGGCAGCGCGGGGACGGGGGGATCCCCTCTCCAGACCCACCTGCTGGCCGCCCTGACCCTTTGTTCTGTGTTTGAAGAAACGCTTGAAAGCAGCTGAAGCGGAGAGCAAGTTAAAGCAAGTTTATATCCCCAACTAGTAAGTACGCCCCTCACGGCGCCATCCCCGCGTCCCACGTGGCCCCGTGGTGCCGCCCTGGCTGAGTCCTAGAGAGAGTCGGGGGCCTGTCATCAAAGCCCGTGGTGGCCCGGGGGCAGAGGTGGGGGCAGCACAGGGCATCAGGACTGGACCCCGCCCGGCCTGGGGTTCAACGCTGAGCTGAGCTAAGCGCAGGCAGGTGGAGCTGGGGTGTCGACGCGGTGGGAGCTGCTTCAAGAACTCGAGGGGAGAGAGATCACACACCCCCAGGCAGGGGTCAGCGTCTGCCCCGGGTCCAGGCAGGTCTGGACGGGGGCTGCCGGGCCCCAGAGCCGCGCGCCCAGGGCTTGGTGGTCCCGTGACGTCTTCCCTCTCTCCCTTCCTTACTCAAGTAACAAGCCAAACCCGAACCAGATCAGCGTCAATAACGTCAAGGCAGGCGTGGTGAACGGTGCCGGGGCGCCGGGCCAGAGCCCTGGGGCCGGCCGGGCCTGCGAGAGCTGTTACAGTAAGTGCCCCACCCGGCATCCGGGTGCCCCTAGCCCACAGCCCTGGGCGCCCCTGCACTGCCCTGGGGCCCAGCCTGGGGGCGGCGGCCATGCCCTGCCGGGGAAGCCCTCTCGGGGAGCACCGGGTGCCTGGGCCCACAGGGTGGGGGGCGGGCGCGGGCGGGCGACAGCTGTGTAATGCTCTCTGCCATCACTGGTTCTGCTTAAGAATCCGTCTATTTCCAACTTTGTTGTCCGTAGCCACCCAGTCTTACCAGTGGTATTCTTGGGGTCCCCCTAACATGCAGTGTCGCCTCTGCGCATCTTGTTGGACATATTGGAAGAAATATGGTGGCTTGAAAATGCCAACCCGGTTAGATGGAGAGAGGCCAGGACCCAACCGCAGTAACATGGTAAGTCGGTCCCCCCCACCCTGCCCCAGCGCATGCCCCGCGGTCCGGCCCGCGGTCATGGCGCTGTGTTGGGGCGGCTCGCCCCCTTCCGCAGAGCCCCCACGGCATCCCAGCCCGGAGCAGCGGAAGCCCCAAGTTTGCCATGAAGACGAGACAGGCCTTCTACCTGCACACCACCAAGCTCACGCGGATCGCCCGGCGCCTGTGCCGTGAGATCCTGCGCCCGTGGCATGCTGCCCGGCACCCCTACATGCCCATCAACAGTGCGGCCATCAAGGCTGAGTGTGAGTGTTCCTGCGGGAGGGGCGCTGGCGGGGCTGGTGGGGACGGGGTGTGCGGCCCCCGCAGGAGCTCTTACCGGGGTCTCGCACCCCACAGGCACGGCACGGCTGCCTGGAGCCTCTCAGAGCCCGCTGGTTCTGAAGCAGGCTGCGCGGAAGCCCCTGGAGGCCGTCCTGCGGCACCTCGGTGAGCCTGCTGTCCTCCAGCGCAGCCCTGGCCCCCGGCTGCTGCATCCCTAACCCCCCCAGGGGGTCCCAGCCTCTCCCCACCCTGCTCCCCTCGCCCCTGCAGTCCCCAGGGGTCTGGGTCGGGTGCACTGGCTCTCGTGATGCCTCTGAGCCTGGATCGGTGTCTCCCGCGGGGGCTTCTCCGCACCCCACGCTCCGCAGGGTCTTCTCCGCGCCCCACGCTCCGCAGGGTCACGGCTGGGTGGGGGACGTGCACACCTAGGCAGCAGCCTGCAGGGAGGGTCCTTGTGGCCTGGGGACCCTGAGCACTTCGGCTGGCTTTGCCGCTGCCCCGCCCCGCCTGGCTTGTTCCTGGGACTCAGCCAGGGGCTTGGGCGAGGGCGGGG